AAACCTCCAATGTATGTAATGGTTGTTAAACTTGAAAGCCAGCTGTGCTCAAAAATTCTTTAATATCCATGACATTAAGTCAATACTTAATGTGTTACATTTCAAATGATGTGAAAAGATTAAAAAATACATAAAAGCTGAATGAGGTACAATATTTGGGTATCTATATAACAAGGCCCTTTTTGACGGTCCAGTGTTAAATACACACACACTAACCAGCACATCTTCAGTTATCAAGGGAGGTTTCAGTCAATAGCAGCTGTGACCAAATCTTCTGGAGTGGAAGTCAGAAACCACTAATTTAAATTTTTCATTTGTTTTTTGGAACAATTATGCCACCCACAAAAGGGTAACTTTCAAGTCATCATTATCTCATGAATTTTGGAACTTATCCCTTAAATAAACTCATCTCATTTCCATATAATTACAGCAACTAGGGAAAAAATGTCCTCTTTTAAAAAAAAAATTTTTTTTCTAGCTCTAAATTTAAGGGTATAATAAGGAATCCATGCAACTGGCATATTGATCACATTTGGAATTTGCCTTTTAAGAATAAAAACTTCATATGAATTTAAAAGAGAAGTATCAAAGGATAAATCTTTATGGTTTTTGAAGTTTTCTTAAATTCCTTTAGATTCCTTCTTATAACCCTATTTGACAGTATTCACTTGTTACATTCTCCATCCTTGTTATGGAGGAATTTATTTCAGCTCAGTTAGATTCATTTGTAATATAATGGTAATGACTTCAAACTTTAAAAAGGGGAATTTGGACATGCAAGTTTCTTCCTGAATCATCCTTTCCCTGTCAGCCTCAGGAAGATAGAAACACCTCCTGAGTGTTTAGAAAGACTCTTGTGGACCTAATTCCCCATAACAGATCGCGCAGTACAAACTAATTAGAAGGAGTTTAAATGTTTCCACTGAAAACACTAAAAAAGAGGAATGTTTTTCTCTGCTGCCTGCTGTTTTCTGATCATTTCCCTCCTCATAACCTTGCCGCTTCACTGTTTCTCTAACATACTGCTTTAGAGGTGAAACTTGATGGTCCAGCCACAACCAAAACTGTAAACGCTGACTTGAGAATGTTCTAAACATCCCAGGGGAAAAACAAAAGTCTTTCCTGAGACAATGTACAAATGCATCTATTATAGGCAAGGGAATAGGGTTCTGGTCTAGAATTTTCCTACTAGATTTTTTCCAGATGTTGTATTAAAAGCTTCCTGAATAAAGTCTTTTATTATGATAGGCACGCCACTAAGTATTTTTCCTGTTTGTCTTAAGAGATTTTAAAGAAGAGGGCTGAGCCACAATTAACACCCAGCTGAACTTGAAGGCTCATTCACACTTTCTAAATTTTGCTTGCCCTTTTCTCTCAGTTTAATTGATACACCATTAATAGTAACATTAGAGTGGGCTGTAATATTTTTCTCCCAGTTCTGCTCATTTATTTAAGGTTCATAGTGTCATTTTTCAGGAGTATCATTATGAAGCAAGCCCAGCCTCTTCTTGGCTGTAAGCTCACCAGTCTCCATGCGGTTGACTCGGGCCTGAAAACATACCGATTTTCAGCCACATAGAATTTCTTCTGTACAACCAGCCTCTCGTTTTCACTCCTGATGGCAAAAGGTGAGACATGGCACTTCTCTGGCCAACCATGGACAATCTGTGTGGTTGACATGACCACTGGTAACAATTCACCACTCAAGCAGGGGAGAGAGCATGTTGGGCCAGATGGGAAAGGGGGGATAATTCAGACATACTGTGCTTAAAGCTGGAGACAGTGCATAATTACGACCTTCTGCCAGGAGCTGAGCAATTGCTGGGATGCACTCAAGCAAAGAACCTGCCCTTCATACCACCACACTCCTCTTAACCAAACTGTAACCTGGCAGCTCAGTCTGCATAGTGACAACCACCCACAGCCTCTCTTCCTTAATCTGGGGAGAAGCCTCCCAGCTGCCTTGCTTTTATTTCTAGATAAATTATTAATGGCTATTCATACTTGGCACATGTAATTTTTAACTATTTAAAATATTTATGGGGTGGGGAGGGCGACTTCATAAGGATTTATTATTTTCCCTTGCTTTTACAGTAAATCCAACTCAGGTTGCTGACTGGGATTTTCCCTGCTTCCTTCTCCCGTGTGAACCTTATATTTAACTCCAAGCAATGAATGCAAGATCGATAGAATAAGTAACAAAAGTATCCACGGTGACTGAACAGCAAACTCTTAAATCACTGAGCAGTAAGTGCAAATGAACAATTATTGAAAACACTGCACTAAAATCTCAATAGGAGATAAGAATGAGGCTTTAGTCAGTAAAAGGGTCCATTAGTCTTGTAACTCTGAAACAGCAAACTCAGAACAAGCTATTCTTGAGAACTGGAAATATTACATATTCCACCAACTTGCACACACCACATGCAAACTGACTTCGACTAAGCTAGGACAGAGTCCAATTGCCCAGTCACTGAAGGAAAGGAGGCTTAAAGAGAAGCAGTAGTCTGTGCCAGCCTATTCAGGCAATGATTCTTCAGTTATATTTGAACGGGGCAACAATGACAAATTTGGTTATTTATACAGGAGGTAAATATCCCGTTTTCATTCACCCCCTACTGTAGCATCACCATACTCTTCATCACTCTCTGTTGGAGACACGAATAAAAGACTTTTGACACCTCTAGCCCATTCCAACAAATAACCAGAAAAGCCCAAGAATGCAGCACTGCTTTCCCTTTGTCCTTGTTCTCCCTGACTTGATAAGCCATTTGCAGCTGAAAAATGAAGAAGGTACTGGACAACCAATTTGCCCTGTGAAAGCACTGTTTTAAAAAATTACCTGAAGTCACTGAAATTTTGGATACACACACACACACACACACACACACAAATATACATACTCATATGCATACATGCATATATGCACACATAGTCTTAGGGATTTGCAAACATTAGGATGCTATTGAATTTTAACATGCCTGGGGTATACTGCTCAATTCTTTTTGCCCTCGCTCTTATGCCACACATTTTATTAGAGACAGGTGGGCTCCCAGAGTTCTGGATGTCTAACAGCATGAGGATAACCTGAAAGGAACAGCATTCCTAAATACAAACGATTTCCTCTGGGATTAGAAAAACACTTCTCGTGCCAGAATTATAGTGAGACTAAACCATACTCATGACACAGAGGGCAACTTTATCCTTGCCTTTCAAAGAGTATAGTTTCATCTGAAGTAAGTAGGACATCACATTTCAATTCGTACTATTAAAAACTTGCATTACACAATGACACTAATTACCCTGTGAATCACACTGCTTTACAAGACGGCTGAACTAGCATACAGTTAATAATATGAGCTTGCCCAGTGAACATTTCTCCAATAGCCACACAATCATCCAGTACAGCATGGATAGCCTTTGACCAGGTCTTTTAGATTCTACTGCTACTCTGGTTAGCCCTACTTCCTCTTTACAATCACATAAGGAATCTTTGCAAGAGGCTAAAAACTTAAACTAAAATTATAATCTCTTTCACCATCCATCAATATCATTGCAGATGCCAATTTTTTTTTTTTTTTTGTCCAAAGATATATTATCTTTATAGGCTTTTCCATTTATCAAAAAATATATTCATTATAAATACTGTTTTATTAATTTCTCATAAACAAGCTTACCACTTCCATCACTATCCCCTGGAAAGAGATGTTGTTTGACTCTGGATTCTGTTTAAATTTGGCTATGAAATGAAGATTGTTTCTTCCAAATCAATTTTAGCTATTTTAAGTCTCCTTTTCTAACATGACACAAATTACAGGGAAATCAAAACTCTTATAAAGATAACTAAAGGCATTTAGCTTTTGTAACTTGGGTTCCTTCCATACTTTCTCAAATGTTTCAAAGGCTCAAGAAAACAAAACACAGCAAATAGTACACAGAGAAATAAATGCCCAACAAACTAATAGTGCCCCACCCCAAGTTTACCTAAATACCTCTTTCATCTGAAAGAAGACTCTAGATTTAATATTCATAGCAAACCAAGAAATCAGCCAGAGCATTTGCATCTTGGAATCATTCCCTAGCCCCTCTCCAGTTGCTCTCACAAACCTTTTAATATCGGATAGATGCCCTTAAACGATGAGGCCGGATGGAACTTACAGAAGGAAAGCATAACTTCAGGGAGACGGAAAGAGTATTCAGTCCTAATCCTTGGTTTCTTATTTAGTGAAGCGCTTTTGCCTTCTCTCCTAGCAGTAAGTTGCAGCGTTACAGTGCAAATGTACAGCTCCGAGCCCATTTACAGTGCTCAACTGATAGCCCAGATCTAAACCTCAACATGCTTTCTGGAAATGCAGGCAGCTCAGCTGAAAACCTGAGGGAGGTTTCCACCGTGGCACAAAACTAAACCGCACAAATATTTAACAGCTCTGAGACCTCTAAAGGCTTAAAATAATATGCATTTTGTGCTAGGCTGCTCCTAGCTAGACGGAACACTGGAATGGTATGGAGGAGTGTTCTCAGCTGCTCAGCCACTGCTCACTAGAGAATATTTTCCTTTTCCGCCTCAGAATTAGGGAAAAACCGAATGCTTAATGAGACACTCATATTGACTAAGCTTCCACAGCATCAATAGTATAAGAACTTTGTTTCACATTCCATTAAGTTAGCCCATGACTTCCCACGCTGCACCATTTCTTCCTGCTCACCTAGTAAAAAAACGCCAACTTCATGCCGAGATATCAAGGCAAAGTTTATCCACCCCCACCCGTCTCTGTCTTTTCCAACTTAAACTCATCCAAGGCTAATTAACAGTCCCAATTGTAGCACAAAGGAAGCTTTCAAGGCTGCACCAGCTTGGTCCTCCAGTTGCCAACTGGATGTAGGTCTAACGTAATACATTCTCGCAGCTTAAAGATTTTTTTATTTTTTTTTTAAGGGCTTGTCTGCACTGATGAAGAGCCGGGCACCCCCAGAATTACATCATCAGAGCGAACACTCACCAAAATACATTATGTTTCTCATTAATCAGACAGCTGGAAGCCCACCGCGGCGTCTTCAGCATCAGCTCGCACCCAAGGCTGACACGCAGAGCACGGCCGTTTCATGCTACATTCGGTGAAGACGTCCCCGGCGGCGTGCAGAGCAGCGAGCGCCGAGCGTGCCTCCTCCGCGGGATGAGCGCCTTGCAGGCTGCCTCTCCGGGGCTACGGTCCCCGGCGGCTGGGGCGTGCGCTCGGGCTGCCTGCTGCACGGCCCATCCTTACTGTAATCCGACTCCTCCTTGCGATGTCCTTGCCGCGCCTGTGACATCAGGACTGAGAGTACTACCAACAGACCCCCCCATCCCACCGCACCCCACCCCCGGTTAGCAGCCGCTCCATGAGGTGCTCCGATTGCCTGCCTGGACCAACCATGGCTCTCGGGAAGCTTCGACGAGCCCGGAGACTTGGGAGGGGCGGAGTGCGGGGCGCGGGAGGCTCTTAAAGAGAGCGGGGTCTCTGGATCCACACACGAGCGCGCGGGGGAAATTCACCAGGTCGGGAGGGGACAAGGTGGAAGCGAGTTCTGCCATTAACGTGTAATTAGGCACACTTTTATCCCGCCCCTCCTATGAGTGCCATCATCCTCGCCAAAATTTAGGCTCCCCTACCAAGTTAAAAAGGCAGCGTGCCTGCATTCTCTGCTGTGGGCTGGAGGGATTGTGGTTGTTATTGTTGGTGATGTTTATACATAAGAGGAATAAAAGAGGAACTCGAGGGACTATGGTTAGGGTAACAGAGGTTTTCACTTAGAAGTGATCAGATCACAGAGAGCCAGCAGTTAGTGAAGAGTAATTTTTATTTCTTGAGTATTTCCTGAGCGAGGTTGATAGAGAGATGCAAAGAAAAATAACTGGTGATAAAAGTCACCTCTTGGTTTCCCATGATCACATTTGCTGCCTCCCTTAATAGGTACACTGAAGTGGAAATGATCTTTGACCCCCTAAAGGGGCAGCCAAGATTGTGTTGTAATTCAAGGCTGGTCACCAGTATAGTATAGCCACACACAAACACACACCCATTTAATTTGCGATGAACAGTCAAGAATGGCAAAGCTTAGCAAAGTCTCTGGCTCCTCCAATGGTGTAATGAATTGCAGTCGTTATCTTACATAGAAAAGAATGTTAGAAAGAAATCCCTGAAAGCTTTGCTGATTAATACTTAAATGCTCACCCATTACAGCAAGTTGAGTTTGCTAAGGACCCATCACTTTGGGATCCAGTTTACCTACCGGACCATGTAAAACTTAAAAATTTCTATGAAAATCTATGAAAGTAAGAACTGAAGATAAAGAACTGTAGCCTATGGAAAGAAGTGATCAATATGTATGTGTGTGTGTGTGTATATATATATATATATAATCTGAGCTTTTATAAATCATGTGAGCAAATATTTCTACATTTTGATATTAAAATATTCAATGGTGTTTCCTTACACAATTCTGTGTCTGTTGGTGGGTTTAATGGGTATTGGAACTAGGGGGCTGAAGCTCATAATAACAGCTTGCTATGTATGCAATCTTGTGAAAACGCTTAACCCCATATTTCCCTTCTGTGAGGAGTGCTCTGGACCAATATCCTCTCTCACGCTGGATTATAAAGGATTTGGTGAAGGCAGATAGGTAATCAAATATAAATCAGGAACATCACAGTGAATCTTAAGACAATTATAGTACTATTCTTTTTGAAATAGTCTTCATTTAAGGCAATTTGGAGGAAGAAAATCTAAGTAGTAAAGGACTTTTGAAATCCTTTTTAATAATTAAAAATAGAAACAATGTTACAGGCAAATACTGAAGAAAGTACATAAGTGTTTTTCCTTTCAGACAGATGGAAATCGTCCAAAAGTACAAGTAATAGCCCTTCCCTCAGGCAAAGGAACCATCTGTGGCAGAATTTATTCATGAAGCCTATCATCTGTCTTTACCTCCTACATGGGCTAGGGGGCACTGTAGTTTAATGGTAGAGTTTTGGGTCCATTTGAGTTCCTGTAGTTGGAAGATGTAAGCACTTAAGAGTTGAGTTTAAAACGAGAGATTGAAAACACTAAAGGACTGTCTTCATCACTAATAACACCTTTGTCTTTGCATGGCATGTTAGTTACAAGGTACTTTCACATATGCCATCTTTCTTACTAACAAGCTGAGATATGGAAAATGGATATTATCAATGTCACAAATGAAGAACCTCAGGCCAAGAGATGTTTCTCAATGTTTCGGTTAGTAAAGAACTGTTGTCTTACTATTTGCATGCTGAATTTGTGAAGAGTCCTCCAACAGGTTTCCTTACTCAAATAAATGTGCCATTTATAAAGGCTCAGGTAAAGATCTTCCCCAGTAAAATTATGTCACTGAGTGTTCCAGAAACAAATATGTCTATATGGTCACAAATATATAGGCAGAGAGTATTTGGTAACAGAACATGCCAATCTCCACCTGATCTATAGAGGATCGGACCCCAAAGAGCAGTGCATAGTCTCTGAAAGAGTATGGCATCCAAGAGGCAACTGAGTCTTGTATCCAAAGGATGGATTTCTGTTCAACCCAAAAAAGGAAGGTGTCTTCTTCACTTCAAGGTGTGCACCCTTCTCTCCCTCAATTAAGGGTTATCTGGAATGTTGAGGCCTTAGACACAAACTTATCTCTGGATGGAAAACAAGTACTTTTTGTTTTAGTTTTATACTTTTTTCTGTTTGACTTAAAATTATTTTATTTGTATATATTATATTTATAAAGGAAAACAATACAACTGTTTTGTTTTGGTTTTTTTTTTCCTTTGACCAACATTTCCCAAATCCCTTCACCACCCTGGTTCTGGTAAACACCATGTCACTCTCCGCTTCTATGAGTTCAACTTTTTATGTTCTACATGTAAATGAGATCACGTGGTATTTGTCTTTCTGTGTCAAGCTTATTTCACTTAACATAATGTCCTCCGGGTTCATCCACGTTGTTGCACATGACAGGATTTCTTTCTTTTCTTAATCTGAATAGTATTTCATTGTGTATATATACCAAATTTTCTTTATTCATTCATCCATTTGTGGACACATAGGTTGATTCGATATCTTGGCTGTTGTGAACAGTGCTGTAATGACCATGGGAGTGCAAACATCTCTTAGACATACTATCTTTTATTTTAAAGCACAATAACATCCAAATGAAGCCACAGCTGATGTTAGTTAGACATTGGGCTGTGGATATGCCAGCTGTGCCTTAGAGATGCTCCCCTGTACGACCTCTAGGGTGTGACCCAGGAGCTTCCAGGGAAGAACCTGGTTTACATCTCTGACCTTTATCTGTCTCTAAAAAGCTCTGGAAACCTGGGAGTTTCTGAGGAGGAATCAGGTCAGTTCACCTGGGGCCATCCATGGTAACAAACTGCTTGTCAGACAGAAATACACCTTTCACTACTATAACAGAAGGTGGCCCTCAAACATATTTTGGGTTAGAACATCATGGTTTGGTGAGAATTTTCTCTCTGCTCTAAGATGCAGGTAGCTGCCTGCCTTGATTTCTTGTCTCCTTCAAGTCTTGCTCAAAGGTTCATCAATACAGCCATTCACTCTATCTTTTTACAGTTTTAAATGGCATTTTCTAACCTTCTTTCCCTTATTTTTCTCTGTAGCAGTCATCACCATCTGACACCCTATTTTAGACATCTGTTTATTGTGATTTCTCCTCACTGGAATATGATCTCCATGAAGGCGGGGATTTTTTTCTGTTCCATGGTGCATCCACAGACCTTAGAAGGGTACCTACCATTTGTTACTAGTTAATAAGTATTTGTGTGTGAATGAAAGAATCAATAAACATACTAAGTACAGTTGTATTGGGTGTAAGACATCATACTTTTCTATGTACCTGAAGTTGGTTCTTCAAGGTTGATAGTGTTTTGTGCAAAGTGTTTACACAAATTGAATTTGTCCATGCTTAGCAGCAGCTGTTCTTAAATTCCATGCAATACAGATGCCAGGTGGTACTGCAGGCCACAGTTTGTGAGCTTGTTTGTCCTTTCAAATTCTTATAGCTGTATGCAGCAGTGATTTAGCGTTGAGTTAGCACAGAGTAGTTGTATTTTCCATCGCCTTCCCCATAGCTTGAATTTAGTCCACCTATATCTCTTGTCTATATTGCAGCAATAAAATTTTAGCCAGTGTTCCTGATTTCTGACTCCAGGTTTGACCATGTCCGATCCATTCTCCATATTAGATCCATTATTATCTTATTTTAAAAGGTACCATCATGTCACTCCCTTGCTCAATACTCTTCACTGTTTCTATATTTTTACCTACCAGGGTTTATAAGGCTTTTCACAACCAGGCCCCTATTTACTTCTCAATTTGTGAATGGTGTGTCCTTCACACACTTCACTCCAACTCTAATATAGGACTGTAATTCCCCTGAACACTATGTTCCCTCTTACTTTATTCTCTCTCCTGATTGAGTAGACAATATCTACTCAATCTTTAGATATCTATTAAAGTATTATGTCTCCTGAGAACACTTTCCTAAACACAAAACTAAATGAGGTGTTGCTTGTATTTTTTTCATATAGTACAGTATACTAATTCCTACTCTAGCATTTAAACATAGGATGGGTTGGTTAGGGTGCAGTGGTATAACATCAAGGTCAAGAATTTGGATCCCCTACTGGCCAGCCACAAAAAAATAAAAAATAAAAGATAAACATAGTGTGGGAATTTGCCTTTACATGTCTGTCACCTAAATTAAAGAGAATTTTCTTTTTCTAATCCCTATGACCTCATACAAATTAGTCATTTAATGAATGAATTCATCAATTATGTATTCATTCATTAAATATTTTTTGAATAAATTTGATATCTTATGAATGCCTTCTATGTGCCAGGCATCATTCTAGGTGCTGTATAAATAACACTGCAGAAAGTGTGTCGAGCTATTTTACCTACCTGTAATCTTGGCAGCTGAGCCACTTGTTTAATAAATTTGATATCTTATGAATGCCTTCTATGTGCCAGGCATCATTCTAGGTGCTGTATAAATAATACTGCAGAAAGTGTGTCGAGCTATTTTACCTACCTGTAATCTTGGCAGCTGAGCCACTTGTTGAGCTAGAGCTGGGTCTGGAGCTCACAGACCCCTCAAGCCTGTTCACAAATCTTGGATCGTAAACCCTTCACATGCCAGGCTAGGTCCCCAGACCCCTCACACACAGGTCTATGAGCTAGGTAATCAGCCAAAAGGTCCTTGGAGCCATATGGTTTGAGAGCATGGCCACACACACAAACGCCTGAAGCAGTCACCAGCCAACTCATGGCACAGCGCATGCGCACTAACTCCACTCACAACTTGCTTACAAAGAATGCTCACCACCCCCAACCTGACTTAAGGCAAGGGGCCCTGGTTAAACT